CCCCCAGCGCGTGGCTCTCCCTGCCCCGGTCACCTCCTCCTCCCCAATGCACGGTTCTCCCTGCCCCCGCCCTTCGCCACAGGAGGGCTGTTATCCCATTTTGCAGGGAAATGGAGGCAGAGTGGAAGTGCCTGGCCCAGGGTGTCCCTGGCAGAGTAGAGAAGTGACCCTTGCAGGGTTCTCCCTGCCCCCGCCCTTCGCCACAGGAGGGCTGTTATCCCATTTTGCAGGGAAATGGAGGCAGAGTGGAAGTGCCTGGCCCAGGGTGTCCCTGGCAGAGTAGAGAAGTGACCCTAGGACCCAGGCTAGCGCCCAAACCACTGGACCATTCTACCTCTCAGCAGACCCCTTTCCTGGACTTTGTCGCTTCCAAACTGGGCTTGGGTTGGCCCTTGCAATGGGCCAGATGCCGCCTATGCTGGCGCTGTGCACGGCCCTGAGCCCCTGGCTCTGGGATCTGCACTGCGGCCTCTGGGGACCTGTAAAGCCCTGGCTGGCCTGGGCGCAGCCTGTCTGTGCCTGGCTCCCCCTGCCGTGCCTGGCAAAGGGGAGTGGCTGCTCCTGGGGCCGAGGAGTCCCACGTGGTACCCACCAGCGCCTGGCAGATCCGTTACTGCCCCCGGCTGGGGGAGCACTGGCCCCACGCGGCCGAGGCAGATCGTGGCTGGTCACTTTCTGCTCCCTGCTGCTTTGCTGGAGGCCGGGGGCGAAGGTGCAGAGAGGCGCTGTGCTGGGGGGCTGCTCTGGCCAGTGGCAGGCCAGGAGCGCTCTGGTGCCATTTCCCATTGAGCAGCTGGGGCAAGCGGAGAGCTGAGCGCAGCCCAGGCCGGAGGCGCTGCCCTGCTCTCCTGTCCAGCAGCGCGCCAGTGTTGTAGCCCTAGGGGTTGTGCCCTCAGCACTGGGAGGATCCAGGTGGGAGATCTGCTCATGGCATCCGAGATCCGGGGTTGGAACTCAGCTCTCAGCCTCTGAATTCCCTGCTCCCACTACTGACCCTCACTCCCTGCTCCTTCCTGCCTGCTTGTGGGGCTGCCCCAGTCATGCAGGACACGAGGGAGGAAGAGCAGGGATGCTGGGAGCCCACCGCCCGCTTTGGGCACGGTGTCCTGTCGGAATCGGTTCTAGCCCAGCTAACATTCCATGCGCAGGAAGTGATGTCACAGGTCTTGCCCCAGTTAGAAAGTGAGTGATTTCTTGGCACCACCAAGTTAATTTCACTTTCATTAATCAACAGCAGAGCTGCCTGAGTAGATGAGAGCAGGGTGCCCAGCGTCCTGGCTGACAGTACCTGCCCCAGCTTCTGCAGAAGAACGGGAAAGGAGCCCTACAGGAGCAGGTTCAGAATAACCTGCCTGAGGGGAGGCACCTCCTGATCCCTTTACGTAAGGCTTGGTTCCTCTTCCAAACAAAGGCATGTTTGAGTAGGAGAGGTCCTAGGAGGGTGGGGAAGCACTGGAATGGGTTACTTAGGCAGGGGGTAGAATCTCCATCCCTAGAGGTTTTTATGTCTTGGCTTGACAAAGCCCTGGCCGGGTTGATTGAGTTGGGATTGGTCCTGCCTTGGGCAGGGGGCTGGGCTTGATGACGTTCTGAGATCTTTTCCTGCTCTGATTCTATGACAACCTTTTGCTTGGGTTTAATACCAGGCTGTGCTCTCCTATCTCTGCATACAAACATTCAGTCAGTTTTGAATTTAGCGAAGCTCTTGGCCTCAGTGATACCTTGTGGCTGGGAGTTCCACAGGCTACTGTGCATTGTCCAGCAAGTATCTGGTTTGATCAGATCTAAATGTGCAGCCTCCCATTTGCTGCCCTTCCTTGCCAGCCAGCAAGAGGGACTGTCTGATGCACAGCTCACAGGAAACCATGAGCTAGGGCGGAGAGCGGCTCTGGCTCACCCCACTCCTTTGCAGCCAGTAGCTCTGCTGTGCTGAGAGGCGCCTGAGACTGAGCACAGGGCCTGGGGCTGGTCCATAGCTAAGCACACCAAGGCTCGGGCGCATCCCATGCAGAGCTACAGGCAGAGGTACCCCAAGGCTGCAGCCTTGCACTCTGCGCCTGGCAGAGCTGGGTGCTAAGTGTGGGGCTAGGATCTGGCTGGAGAAAATCCGGGCTCTGGGAAATAGCAGGAAAGAAGGTACCAAGGGTATCATATTTTTGCTGTTCCACCTTGTATAGGGCACCGTGGCAGCCCAGCTCCATCGGCTCCTAAAATTACAGCGAGGCCTGGGCCAGACATCCCAGGATGGCTGTGGCTCAGTCAGCCTTGTGTATACAGAACGCAGCAGGATACTTTCAGTGACGGTAACTTTTACGATGACCGCGTGTGCCGCCTCTGTAACATGCTGCAGCTGCTCCATGGCCAAAGAAATGTAAAGGTGCAGTATCCAGAACTCAAAAGCATGGCTGTGACATAACGTGTCCCTCCCAGGGTTGTATGTGGTGCAGAAGGAGGTCCTGATCCCGAATGGCTTGTCGCTGATGTTGCTATTTGCACCTGTG